TATGCTCCAACCCCAACCCCCCCAACCCCTCCACCCCGAAACCAAAGTTTCTCAGCGGATTTGGGCTGTACTCAGCAAGCGCAGTACAGACCTGAAGTCAGAACAAAAAAAAAATCAGAGGAAGACTGTTTTCTGAGCCGTCGGTTACCGCCGACCGGTCGGCCCCAATCGGTCGGTACAATACGGTCGGTGGTCGGCCCGACCGGTCGGCGGGGATGCAACCCTGCTCCTGTCCAACCACAGCAAGTGAAAGCAAGACATTTGAAAAAGTGCGAGGTTCAACGAAGCTCTGTGTATGCCTTTTTGGGGTGTTGCGGACCTGTCTTTTGCTCCCTCCATAGTTGGTGGGGCATGCTTTGTTTCAGCAAATTCAGAGAGATTTTGGCTGTGTGTGGTCCTTGATGTCAAGGTGCGGACTTGTTTGTTATTTACAACCCAAGTGTGTAACAAGTTACAGATGCTTGGATGCTCCCTGTTCGTTCAACCACACAGCAGAACTCGATATGCTTTGCACTTTATATTGTTTTATAGAGCTCTTTGAACTTCTTTTGTGTTCAGGATGGAACGGAGATGGTCGGTGGATGAGGATTCAAATAGTGAGCATACAACAGAGTCAACAGACTGGGGAATGGCACACACACACAGCATGCATACACACACGCATCCACAGGAGAAGTGACATGCACACACACGTATACACAGACATTAGCGTATTGGTGTGTATGTTACTATGTTCTATCTCTGCAATTCCCTGTTGCTTTGATCCTTTTTCTTCCACTCGCTTTCTCCTCTGGCAGTCCACACTTATGCTAGCACACCTTATAAGACAGTTAGAAGAGTGCAAGTGCACCGTGTGCAGATGCATGTACACGTAACAGATGTGTCTGGCTTCTCAAGCAGCCACATACACATGCAGAACAGAACCTTGCAGTCGGCAAGCAATCAGTATTTGTGGCATTCTCATGCCTCCCTCCTTGCTCCACTTCTCTTATGAGTCCATAGCTGGGCAGTCCACTGGTGGTTATTCTGTTTTTTTTTTTTTTTTTTTTTTTTTAAACAAAAGAAGATTTCGATCGGAGTCCTTCAGGACTCATTCTACTTATTAGCCTTCACCCACCTACAGGGATTGAAATGGTGAGGACAAAGTCGAGGAATTTCGTTTTTGGCTCCTTCTGCAAACTTTTTACAAAGCCGAGGATCTGACAAGACTCGCACGAAGACGAAGACGCCGAGCTCACAACACTGGTGTAGCTCAGTTGGTACACCATACACCTTGAACTGTTGAACTACCAACCTGAGTTCCAAGCTCGTTGGAAGCAGACGAGTAAATATTTACTAAAGTATTTACCTAGGTAATTCTGAATTACCTAGGGCTGGTCCGATTGATGAGGATATCTCAAGGCCGTTACCCTTTAAAAAAAGAGGGAGGAAGTCGACCAACAACCTCAGGTCACTGCCCGGTTCTCCCTTACACAATGTGCCCGCCTCATGAATGTATATGATGCAGGCGTGACGACGAGGGGTGTGTTTGCTCAGGGGAAGAACGGCAATATCCTGTCTTGGAGTTGTTTTATCCATCTGCTTGCCCAGGTGGGTACATCCCCTACGTCTTCACCCGAATATAGTATACTGATCATTATAGCTGAACTTGGGGGCCAACTGTAGGTCTAGATGCAGCAACAATGACTGGGCGTTCTATTCGGTTGGCAATGGTAGCAAAAATCTTGTAATGAACAGAGATGCAGGCTCTAGCTAAGGATTTGGCCTGTGTAGATGAATAGTTGGGAGGAGTGTGAAATAGTTCATCCACAGGACAGATACCATTCTCTCCTTCTTTCTTTCTCTGAAAGAAAAGGACAGTTTGATGTGGTTTATCATTCTTTATATTTTCTTTTCCTTTGTTATCATTTGTTGTTTGCAGGAGACGAAGGCGACATTTAGACCCGAATTTCGAGTATGGTCAGACAAAGCAGAAGGACAAATACGTCCTTTTCTGAGCCTGTCTGTGGAGCAAAACCTCCTAATCCACATCCTTCTGTATTGCTTTGAGACACCTGGTCTGGAGACTACAGCTGCTGAAGGCATCCAAGGGGGCTCTGGCCAAGGGCCTGATAGGACGACGGGAGGTGGCCTGCCATATGGACATCATGTTCTGCAAAGGAGTATGGATGACAATGCCATCGTTCTCTCTCAGGTAAAGAAGGCGGACCTTGAAAAGCTAGATGTTTGTCCTTCTCCTTCACGTCCGGTCACTCCAAGTTCGAGCAGTCGATCGTCAAGCCCGTCATCAACCTTGCCGAGAACTCCATCGAGCTTAACATCAACCCTGACATGCAATAAACAGCGAGCTATATCGCCTCTGAGCGGTGCAGCATCTCCGCCCTACTCTCTCCCGGAGGAGTGCCTTTGTCCAATCTGCGGTGCACTCTTCCGAGATCCCATCATGCTCGATTCGGGGCATTCTTTCTGCCGGAAGTGTTTGCGCAAGTGGTGGAGCTCGAACGACGGGAAACAGAAAATATGCCCCTTAACAAGGATGCTTCATGACGGACCTCTCACCCCAAACTATGCTCTTGAAAAAGTGACAGCATCCGTCGACACGGTTTTGCAGCACCTACATCGGCTTATTCATCAGGTATGAACCCCCATCATATGAGACGGCAAGCAAACCACAAAACTAGCGAACACTGAGCACGCTATCAACACCATCATCACCATCCGGCATTCCTTATTTTTCTCGAAGCCCAAGGAAAGAAATCCAACTACGGCTTTAGGTCTATGGCTCCTGTCATTCTACCTACGTACCGGTCCAGGTTCCGTTCACACCAGAAAGTATTGTAGCTTGCAAGATACAATAAGAGTACTCTCCACCACTCTGTAGCAGCGATTTTGTGAAGGGAATAGCCCTTCAGAGAACTTATCACCTCTCAGCAGGCTGTCTAAAGGCCACTGTCAGAGTCTAGTATAGTGGCTTCACTGCCCCTTCAGTCAATATGCACGAACGAGGGCACATGCAAAGCATGATCCAAGTTGCATGCAGAGTAAACAAAGTGGCAATATGAAGAATTGACTCAAGGCTCAAGCGGAATTTGATGATACAACATTAAGACCGGGCAACGGGTGTGGGCTCCTGCTCCACTGTCAGAGTGCCTGGGAATGACATGAGTGACGGGCTCTCGTTCTTAATGGGTGTGGATTGTACGCAAGAAACTCACACAATACTATGTTTTCAATCGTGTACTTTTTTCTCTTTCTATTTTCAACCACCAGTCCAGCGTTCCTCCGAAACTTGCATCTGTATGCAAGGGGCACGTGCTCTCGATGTACCGGCATGGAGGGGACCGGTTGGTTCGGCAATTTAGGGGCTGCCGTACTGGTGAGGACACCTGCTAAAATCGAAAAGATACCCTACTCAAGGATGGATGACACATCCAAACAATTGGGAAATAAAAAAATTCAAATAATAAAATACTCTGCATTGACAAAGGGATAACTTTGAGAAAAGTGTGTGGTTTCAGTTCTGGTGACGGAGTTTTCAGTTCTGGTGCCCCCCAAAAACTCCGTCCAGCAGAAAAGTGGGGCCAAAAACTGAAACGTCAGAAAAGTGGTTGCAGAAAAGTGCAGCCGAAATCCTATTGCGGAAAAATTCATTTGAATTTTCAATTTTCTTTCCCGTTTGGTAGAGTTGAAAATGGGGGTACGTTACGTTGGGCCCATCCCATTCGTGTGTGTGTGTGTGTGTGTGTGTGTGTGTGTGTGTG